TGCATTTCCCAACTCACATCGATATTGGAAATAATCGAGTTTTTCATGCTTCTACGGCAGTTTTCATGTAGTTTGCGGCCATTTTGACTGGCCACAGTGAGAACCTATAGCTGGCTGCCACGAATAGGCAGGAAGATTCTATTCCAGCGTGAGAACCAACAACTGACTGACACGAATGTTAACTAGCATGCTAGCATGCAAGAAAATCGATCGCTGCATTCGTCACAAGTGGGAAAAATTTAAATCTGCATGGCACTTTACTCCAATTGGCTCATTCGCTTGCTTAAACTCAACATTGATTCTGATTCCGCAGAACTGGGTTGGGTGTGAAAAAGTATTTGTTGTTAACATTCTTTTTTCATTCGGTTTTTCCAGTTAAGAGTCCTTTTTTTAAAGCTGATCGTTTTGTGTTCATTTTGTTTAGTTTTTTTTTTTGTAAAAGATTTAATGTTTAGTATAGAGCTTAGAAAAAATTCGCAGTGTGAGATGGGAAAGTAAGGCATGTAGCAACATCAGCACGGCAAAGGGCACTCCTTTAAAGGCAAGGAAGGGCAAAAATATTTTAAGTCAAATGATAGCGATTGCTGTATGAGTCGTACGATTTTTGAATCAAGCACGGGCAACACCGGGTCATGCTGCTAGTATCTATATATCTGTCTACCTACATATCAGTCTGTCATTATATGTCTATGTATCTGTTTATCTACTAGGTTTGGTTTGGTTTGGTTTGTTTTACGGCATATCAATCTCAATGGGTTTTTTAATGCCAACAACTTTTTTTCCTGGTAATATTTTGTTTTGTCAAAATCTACTTCTGGTAATATTTTTACCTTCAAAAATTTATAGCTGGTAATATTATTTTCAAAAACGTATTGCTGGTAATAGTTCTTTGCTGGTATTAAAACGTATTTATACGCTTTCATAGTGTTTTGACTTTAGTTTGGGGGTGAAATATCTGCCCATATCTGGGACCCCGAACTTGTGCTACCAACCTAGATAAGGGTGGTACTGAGAACACCAGCAATTAACAGATGGTTCCGAGCTCCACAGAACCTCCTTGCAGTTGGATGTAGTTTATCGTCTTACCGAGAACGTCATATTTCAGAAAAGTTGCTCATTAAAATTAATTGATCCAAGATGCCTGCCGTCTCCAATAATATTTGTCTTCAATAACATTTGCTGTCTAAACACACAGAATATATATATATATATATATATATATATATATATATATATATATATATATATATATATATATGGATGTGTGTATGTTTTAATTGAGTTTTTCATGTGTTTATTTGCACGGAAACAGCAGATACGAAGAAGAGAATGACTTATTTGGATCGATCAAGCTATCAGGAACAAATTGATCTGCTTACATCTCATATTTAGCTATACAATGTCACAAGTCCATGGACTGCATTTCTTTGGGTTTTTTTTACTCTCAGGCAAGGCGACAAATCCACTAAGACGCAAGGGGATGCTGGGAGTGAAAGAAAATGAGATAAAAAAGGACTAAGGAGAAGAACAATAAAAGTCCCAGTTTAATTCTTTGAAGATTGTAGATGCCAAGGAAGCAAGAAGCCGGAAGTCAGCCAAGTGAGAAATCTGAGAAAATAAACTATTTGAATACAACTTAAATAGAGTTATTTAACCGATAAAATGATGAGACTTTATAGTCAATCTGGTATCATTCCCAAATTCATGCGGTCGAAGTAGGAAGAAGACGACTTGCGTAGACCAAATTTTCATAAAAATATTTATAGGAAAGAAAAGGGGAAAGACACGTCACAGTGGTTCAAATTTGACTGATGACGTAATATCCAATCAGGATTGATTATATTACAGGCCCCTCTATGGATTCTGTCGAGAATCTAAAGTTATATACCAAACCATATGCTAGATCCCTGCTTTGGTGAATTCAACATATATATATATATATATATATATATATATATATATATATATATATTAAAAGAAGAGAGAAACCGCAAAAGTTTTTGTTGTACTGTGAATTTAAAAAAAAAATATTATGTTTTATTATCGAAAATAAAGGTAATATACCTTGCAACCCAAAACGTTTGCAGTTTCTTTCTTCTTTTAATATACACATTTCTCTCGTTCGAATTACTATAACCTCTTCCTTTTATATATATATATATATATATATATATATATATATATATATATATATATATATATATATATCTTGTGCAGTGTTAGAACATGCACATATCCACTAAAAATTGTATATTTTGTTTCGACGTCAAAAAAACGGGAAAACCTTATGAGACGTCTAAAAAAGGTTTTCCACTTTTTTGATGTCGAAACAAAAATGCACAATTTTGTAGGGGATAGGTGCATGTTCTAATGTAACACTGCATAAGATGAATAAATATTTACGGCTCTACATTGTGTATTGAGCACTATTATTAAATTAATGTTGTGAATGTTGTAATCCTACTGTTTGTTCTCCTACACTTTGATATATAGAAACTTT